ACGAGGTGATAGTCGCTTGTGTTATTTTAATAATTATTCATTGAACAGAGAGGCCAGTAAGCGCTTTGGGTCATAAGGGGATAGTCGCTTGTGTTATTTCAATAAGTATTTATTTAACAGAGTGTCCAGTAAGCACTTCGGGTCATGAGGTAATAGGCAATTTTGTTATTATAATATCTTTTTATCTAACAAAAATGCTAGTAAGCGCCCCAGATCATTGGGTGATAGTCGCTTGTGTTTTTAAAAACTATTTATGGTACAAAGTCGCCAATTAGCGCCGCGGGTCATAAAGTGATAAGCGCTTTTGTTATTTTAATAATTAATTAACGAACAGAGTGGCCAGTAAGCGCCCCGGATCATCGGTTGATGGGCGCTTGCGTTATCAAAATTTATGTATTGAACAGAGTGGCCAGTAAGCGCCCCGGGTCATCAGGTGAAAGGCGCTTTTGTTATCTTAATAATTATTTATTCAACAGAGTGGCCTGTAAGCGTTACGGATTATTGCGTGATAGGCGCTTGTGTTCTTAAAAACTATTTTTTGATTAGAGTGGCCAGTAAGTGCCTCGGGTCATGAGGTGATAGGCGCTTTTGTTATTTTAATAATTAATTTACGAACAGAGTTGCCAGTAAGCGCCTTTGGTCATCGGGAGATAGTCGCCGGCGTTTTTAAAATTTATCTATTGAACAGAGTGGCCAGTAAGGGCCCCGGGTCATGAGGGGATAGTCGCTTGTGTTATTTTAATAATTATTTATCTATCTGAGTTGTCTGTAAGTGCCTTGCGTCATTGGTTGATAGGCGCTTGTGTTATTAAAAATTATTAATTGAACAGAGTGGCCAGTAAGCGCCCCGGGTCATCAGGTGAAAGGCGCTTGTGTTTTTGATTAATAATTATTTATTTAACAGAGTGGCCAGTAAGCGTTCTGGGTCATTGGGTGATAGGCGCTTTTGTCATTTTAATAGTTAATTAACGAACAGAGTTGCCAGCAAGCGCCTTCGGTCATCGGGAGATAAGCGCTTGTGTTTTTATTAATAATTATTCATTTAACTGAGTGGCCAGTAAGAGAGTCGTTAGTAAGCGCTCCGGGTCATTGGGTGATAGGCGCTTGTGTTATTTTAATAATTATTTGTTTAACAGAGTGCCCGGTAAGCACCCCAGGCCATCAGGTGATAGTTACTTGTGTTTTTTAATAATCATTATTTATTGGACAGAGTGGTTAGTAAGTGCTCCGGGTCATTGGGTGATAGGCGCTTGTGTTATTAAAAATTATTTATTAAACACAGTGGCCAGTGAGCGTTTTAGGCCATTGGGTGATAGGCGCTTGTGTTATCAAAAACGATTTATAGAACAAAGTGGCCAGTAAGCTCCCCGGGTCATCAGGTAAAAGGCGCTTGTGTTGTTTTAATAATTATTTATTTAACAGAGTAGCCAGTAATCGCCCCGAGGCATGAGGTGATAGTCACTTGTGTTTCTTATTAATAATTATTCATTTAACAGAGTGGCCAGTAAGCGATTTGGGTCATTGGGTAATAGGCGCTTGCGTTATCAAAATTTATTTATTTAACTGAGTGGCCAGTAAGCGCCCTGGGTCATGAGGTTATAGTCGCTTGTGTTATTTTAATAATTGTTTATTTAACATAGTGGCCAGTGTGTTCCCTGGGTCATTAGGTGATGGGCGCTTGTGTTTTTTAATAATCATTATTTATTGGACAGAGTCGTTAGTAAGCGCTCCGGGTCATTGGGTGATAGGCGCTTGTGTTATTTTAATAATTATTTGTTTAACAGAGTGCCCGGTAAGCACCCCAGGCCATGAGGTGATAGTTACTTGTGTTTTTTAATAATCATTATTTATTGGACAGAGTGGTTAGTAAGTGCTCCGGGNATTTATTTAACAGAGTGGCCTGTAAGCGTTACGGATTATTGCGTGATAGGCGCTTGTGTTCTTAAAAACTATTTTTTGATTAGAGTGGCCAGTAAGTGCCTCGGGTCATGAGGTGATAGGCGCTTTTGTTATTTTAATAATTAATTTACGAACAGAGTTGCCAGTAAGCGCCTTTGGTCATCGGGAGATAGTCGCCGGCGTTTTTAAAATTTATCTATTGAACAGAGTGGCCAGTAAGGGCCCCGGGTCATGAGGGGATAGTCGCTTGTGTTATTTTAATAATTATTTATCTATCTGAGTTGTCTGTAAGTGCCTTGCGTCATTGGTTGATAGGCGCTTGTGTTATTAAAAATTATTAATTGAACAGAGTGGCCAGTAAGCGCCCCGGGTCATCAGGTGAAAGGCGCTTGTGTTTTTGATTAATAATTATTTATTTAACAGAGTGGCCAGTAAGCGTTCTGGGTCATTGGGTGATAGGCGCTTGTGTTATTAAAAATTATTTATCGAACAGAGTGCCCAGTAAGCGTCCCGGGTCACGAGCTGATGGGCGCTTTTGTTATTTTAATAATTATTATTTGAACAGAGTGTTTAGTAAGCGCCCTGGGTTATGAGGTGATAGGCGCTTGTGTTATTTCAATAATTATTTATTTCACAGAGTGGCCAGTAAGCGCCTTGGGTTTATAGGTGATAGGCACTTGTCTTATTTTAATAATTATTTTTTTAACAGAGTGGTCAGTAAGCACCTTGGGTCATGAGGTGATAGGCGCTTGTGTTATTTTATAATTATTCATTGAACATAGTGGCCAGTAAACACACTGGGTCATTAGGTGATTGATGCTCGTATTATTGGACCTCAGTTGAATCTTGCGCGTCACATTTGGTACTTTTTTTCTTTGATCTAGTGAGTTTCCACTTTAGATATGTTGGGTGCTAGAGAATTCCCATGTTTGGTCGGAACTATATCTCAACACTGTTTATCTATTTGCTATATGCACAATTTTGAAGCATCGCCATCCTAGGAAAAGCGAGAACTATTGGTCTTGCACAGTAGAAGGCAATATTCGCGATATGTGCTTGATACCTATAGGAACACAGCACCTCGATAGATACACGAAAGGTTCTGTGTTTATTATATCACGAATTAATACAATGNAGCGCCCTGGGTCATCAGGTAATAGGCACTTGTGTTATTTAAATAATTATAAATTTAACAGAGTAGCCAGTCAGCGCTTCGGGTCATGAGGTTATAGTCGCTTGTGTTATTTAATTAATTATTTATTTAGCATAGTGGCCAGTGTGTTCCCTGGGTCATTAGGTGATGGGCGCTTGTGTTTTTTATTAATCATTATTTATTGGACAGAGTCGTTAGTAAGCGCTTCGGGTCATTGGGTGATAGGCGCTTGTGTTATTAAAAATCATTATTGAACAAAGTAGTTTGTAAGTGCCCTGGGTTATTGGGTTAGAGGAGCTTGTGTTGTTAAAAACTTTTTATTGAACATAGTGTCCAGTAAGTGCCTCAAGTCATAAGGTGATAGGGGTTTTTGTTATTTTAATAATAATTAACAATTAGAGTTGCTAGTAAGNCACGAATTAATACAATGTCTCAAGTGGTACAATCCTATGTGAATAACTATAGACAAAATTTGTACTACAAGCACTATCAGCGCTTGAGTATTACTTCAACATAAGTCCGTGTACTGTGTGATACGAGATATGTTTTATTAGTTTGCAATGTAGTCAACACAGACCACCTTTGACCAATCAGAGAGCTCCATCAGCCCTATACCGGCGTGTTTACACAGTATGTACACACGTTTATACGATACGCTTAGAGGATCAGGCCCCAGCTAAAAACTCTAAGAAATACACAGTATCCAACGTATTTCATTGCGTTTTTCAATGAACATGCCGAGTAAAATATGTACATACTACTCATAATTTTATTAAAAATTTAACCCTTAGAATGGTTGTCGATGTATAAACACCTAACTTTCTGATGATAGTAATGCTTAGCAGTCTGCTAGCAGAAGACAAACCTATCGTTTAGTTTCACATATTAGCACAGGTATTGCTGCGATCGCTTTTTCAGCTTGTGCACGTAGCGAATAGCCGACATTTTCACTCCTTCCCTCGTAGGCGCACATTCGGTATACCCCTTCCACGCGTCTCCAAAATGTGCGCCTATATGGAAATTTCCACGCGAATCCACTCTTCTCATACCCCTACCGTGCTTTAAAAAAAAAAAAAAATGTGCGCCTGGTTCGGCCACTTGGCCGCGGCGGGGCGCTCGAACCACTGGAAAAAAGTGGGCACACTCCGTAGCATGGCAGTCAGCAATCTCCCTACTAATCTCTGGGACCGTACTCGTACCATGTAACTATTCTGTACATTGGCCTATGTTATAACACTGGCCCCCGAATCGAAAAAAAGTTATATGGTACGGCCACTGGTTTCGTGGGCTGCACTCGCCACCTAAAGGTGGGCGCTCTATAGAGCTTCTTCCTCTGCAGTTGGCGCGCGCTACTATTGCGCTCGCAGGATAAGTTGTTGTTTGCGGCGCGATTTTTGTTTAGCGCTTTGGCCAGCGGAAACCACCACATATATATATAAAAGATGTGTACGTGCTACGGGAATTAGAACGAAAGACTGACTAACCGATACACAATTTTGTCAAGGTTGATTTTTAGGTTTAAGATAAATTTTAATTGATCACATAGCACTACTTTAATCAGCACATAACTCTTTACTTGATCAAAACAAGACAAATATTTTGGATTTCTCTAAATCATAATATTTTTGACATGCGCCGCGCAATAGGTCTATCCTGCAGCGCAATAGATTCAACACAGTCGCTTGAGGGGACAATTCTATCCTGCCTGCTCTACTGCGCTCCATGTGACTGCAGCCTTAGTATTTGTCTTTTATGAATTACGATGTCTTGCTTTGTCCCTCACTTCAACCATTATTTGTTTTTTATTGATATCAAAGGACAATACTAAATTAATTATTAAGACGCACAAAATATTTGTGCAGGGATGCAACATTGAAAGTCGAAAACAAATTTTTTTCTTAGGTTGCCTCAAAAGTTTTATTATTCATAGACGAAAAAATTTGTTCAATCAAACTTTGAGAAATAATAAATCTTAAAGGAAAAAATTAAACTTATATAGAATTACGCAATTTTTAATCTTGTTAATGTTAAACTAGATTAAGCTAATGTCAAAGTGAAACAGCAAAATGTTTAGGGAGTGTTAAGAGAAAAAGTGTTTGCTGCAGGCAAAAATAATTCCTACTTATAAATTGATAACATGTGATTGAACGCAAGTGTTTTTTTTAAATACAACCGAATGTCATTGACTATTAGCACATCAGTAGCAATTAATTATAGGTGATTCTGCATTCCAATATGTTTTCGGAAATGGAAAATTATCACAGTGTCAAGCAAGAACCAAAAGATTTCACCTCTGTTATTCAAGAAATAGGGGCTTCTTCAGCTTCAGTACCTATTCCTGGTAGTCATAGAAGTGCTCACTGCAATCATGATCAACTTTCACCTTCTCCACTTGCTAATACAGCACTCTGGGGACATAATTGTCCAAATGATATTTTTCTAGAGCCGCCATTTAAGCTTGAGATTCAGAATACATCAGATCCGGCACTTTCTTTTAAAATGGATGATGATGACATTTTTCAAGTCGACAAAGCTGATCTTATTCAAGGACCTACCCTAGCAGAACTTAATGCAAATGATGATACATTGTTGGGAGATCTTAATTTTGATGATTTATTGTTACCTAGTGAAAATGTACAATCATTAAGTGCTACATTCAACGAAATTCAATCAAATACAACCACATCTGCCTTCAGTACTTTTGGCATTGGACACAATCATTATTCTCAAATCAACCAAGGCTGTCATAGTTTTTCTCAGCCCACAAATTTGAGCAGTTTTGTTACATATAAAACTGCAAATCTAAGAGAAGATGCTAATACATCGACATTTTTGCATCACAAGTTCCATAATGTCTCAGGTAAGATTTATTACACCTATATAAATACATAAAATGTAATGCCAGAGCCAGACTTAATACCACAGATGCCATTAATAGATTGCAAAATTGTTAATTAAAAATTTTGATTTCTTGTACGATTGGCAAACCATGATAAATCGAGATCTGCTTTTTTGGAATCGCTAGGTACTAAAAATATCTTTGATCCCTCAATAATTTAAGTTTTCAAATAAACAAACAATAAAATTATTTTTCCGCCCTCGGGTGGTTTTGGGAGGCTGGTACTTTCTCGGGCAAAAAAGCAGTTTTCCGATACTCTTTCGAAAAGTCTCCTTTACGAACCTCGTTACAGACCTCGTCTTCGGCTCGGGCCGCAAACCTCTCGGTTCGCAAACAAAGACTTTTCAAACTCGTAGAAAAACTACTATTTCGCAACAGTGTGCAGAAAATAGGTGTTTTCCGCACTGATATTAGTGTGGAAAATCGATTTTCACACATATTGTGCGGAAAAGGTGTGTGGCAAAAGTTTTTCCGCACAGTATGCGGAAAAGGTGTGTGGCAAAAGTTTTTCCGCACAATATGCGAAAAAGGTGTGCCTTTTTCACACACCTTTCCCCGCACAGTGTGAGGAAAATATTTTCTGCATACTTTTTCCGCACATTATGTGGAAAAATCGGTGCGGAAAACACCCATTTTCCGCACACTTATTGCGAAAAAACTTGTACGCAACTCGTGCGAGACGATTTCCCGCACTCGTGTGATAGACTCGCACTCGTGGCCGGTGACGGTAACTTGTGCCGTGCGATCATACTCGTGCTACGCACTCGTGTGCTCAACTGGCACTCGTTCCCGTCAACTCGGGCCACTCGTGCGAGTCAATCACGACTCGTGCGCGAAATCGTCTTTTCCGCACTTGTTACGTAAATAACTATAATGAAAAATTGTAACAGAGGGCCCTATTTTTGTGAACAATTTTTATTAATTTGTAACTTTTGGCATTCGATTAAAATACTAGCCTAAAAGTGAAGGCATTATATTGTAGCTACTATTGATCCTGTAAATATAATATATTTTTCAAATTCATTAGAAAAAAGCGCAAAAAGTTACGCAAATACGCTCCTCTGTTACAAGTTTGTATTAAATAACTCTATTATTTGTTTATTTAAAAACCTACATTTTTGAGAGATCAAAGATATCATTAGTATCTACCGATTTAAAAAAAAGCAGATCTTGATTCATTGCGGTCTGCTAATTGTACAAGGTATCGAAATTTTTAATCAACAATTATGCAAAAGGTGCGCCATTTTGGAATTTCGTGATTGGACTCGGCGTTCAATGTAAACCACACTTATGTTTCTAACATATCCCATTATCAGCCAATTTTAACTAATTTCACATGTATTTTGATTCAATTTTTATTTTTCAGTTTTTTTCCTTTTCACTTTTCTAAACGATGAAAATTTATTTTTGGATTTTTTTACCCTCAATCCGTATGCAAAATCATCTTTCGAACAAATTTTAATTGAACGCTTCCTTATGTATTTAATAGTTTTCAAGACATTTAGGAAAATTTAGAAAAAGCAGAAAAATTAATTATTTTGCGTGAAAAAGTAAACAAAAAAGCAGCATGAAATTGCTCCAGTTATTCGGTGTATCCTAATTCTAATACCTAATATTTTTTCANATTTATTGAACAGAGTGGCCAGTAAGCGCTCTAGGGCATAAGGTGATAGGCGCTTGTGTCATTTAATAATTATGTGTTGAACAGAGAGCCCAGTGAGGGCCCTGGCTTATTGGGTAATAGGAGCTTGTGTTATTAAAAATTATTCATTGAACAGAGTGGCCAGTTAGCGCTCTGGGGCATAAGGTGATAGGCGCTTGTGTTATTGTAATAATTATTAGTTTAATAGAGTGGCCGGTGAGCACCCCGGGCCATGAGGTGATAGTCACTTGTGTTTTTTAATAATCGTTATGTATTGGACAGAGTGGTTAGTAAGTGCTCCGGGTCATTGGGTAATAGGCGCTTGTGTTTTTGAAAACTATTTATGAAACACAGTGGCCTGTGAGCGTTTTAGGCCATTGGGTGATAGGCGCTTGTGTTATTAAAAACTATTTATAGAACAAAGTGGCCAGTAAGCTCCACGGGTCATCAGGTAAAAGGCGCTTGTGTTGTTTTAATAATTATTTATTTAACAGAGTGGCCAGTAAGCGCCCTGAGGCATGAGGTGATAGGCGCTTGTGTTTCTTATTAATAATTATTTATTTAACAAAGTGGCCAGTAAGCGCTTCGGGTCATTAGGTGATAGGTGCTTGTGTTGTTAAAAACTATTTATTGAACAGAGTGTCCAGTAAGTGCCTCGGGTTATGAGGTAATAGTCACTTGTGTTTCTTATTAATAATTATTTATTTAACAGAGTGGCCAGTAAGTGCCTCAAGTCATAAGGTGATAGGGGTTTTATGTTATTTTAATAATAATTAACAATTAGAGTTGCTAGTAAGTGCCCCAGGTCATTGGGTGATAGGCGCTTACGTTATTTACTTATTTATTTAACAAAGTGGCTAGTAAGTGCCCTGGGTCATAAGGTAATAAGCGCTATTATTATTTTAATAATTAATTAACGAACAGAGTTGCCAGTAAGTTCCCTGGGTCATTGTGTGATAGGAGCTTGTGTTATTAAAAATTATTTATTCAACAGAGAGGCCAGTAAGCGATCCGGGGCATAAGGTGATAGGTTCTTGTGTTATTTTAATAAATATTCGTTTAACAGAGTGGCCAGTAAGCACCCCGGGCCATGAGGTGATAGTCACTTGTGTTTTTTGATGATCATTATTTATTTGACAGAGTGGTTACTAAGCGCTTCAGGTCATTAGGTGAAAGGCGCTTGTGTTGTTTTAATATTTATTTATTCAACATAGTAGCCAGTAAGCGCCCCGGATTATTGGGTAATAGCCACTTGCGTTATCAAAATTTATTTATTTAACTGAGTGGCCAGTAAGCGCCCTGGGTCATCAGGTAATAGGCACTGGTGTTATTTAAATAATTATAAATTTAACAGAGTAGCCAGTAAGCGCTTCGGGTCATAAGGTTATAGTCGCTTGTGTTATTTTATTAATTATTTATTTAACACAGTGTTCAGTGTGTTCCCTGGGTCATTGGGTGATAGGCGTTGTGTTTTTAAAAACTATTTATGGATCAGAGTGGGCAGTAAGTGCCTCGGGTCATAAGGTAATAAGCGCTATTATTATTTTAATAATTAATTAACGAACAGAGTGGCCAGTAAGCGCCTCAGATCATTGGGTAATAGGCACTTGCGTTATCAAAATTTATTTATTTAACTGAGTGGCTAGTAAGTGCCCT